GCGGGAGCCGGGCCCTTTCCCGCGAGCGCGTCGGCGGCCGCTGCCCGGGGAATAACTCACGGCGTTACATTTCCCTCACCCCCAGAAAGTACTGCAACCTTAAATGACCATAATAAGAACGTAATTGTATGGCATGGGGCTTTTTTGGTTGTTGTTTTTTGAGAAATCGATTTGGGCTCGAATAACTCATCTAAACAGGTTACACCAAAGCCATTCAAATAGGAAACAGGAGAACTAAATTATTGCTGCTTCCTGAACTCTCTGCTTATGCTCCCCATAATTAAAATGTGCAGTAATGGCTCCTGCAGCCTGCGTTTCTTCGGGTAATTCTCGGAAATGAAGGGCTGAGTCTCGGCCACTGAGCGAGGAGAGCGCAGAGATGAGCGCAGATCCCGCGGGGATTGGTAGCCAGCCGGGGGTCCTCGCCCGGCGCTCGCCTCCCCCTTCGTCCCCGGGTGGGGGGGAAACAAGCCCGGCGGCGGGGAACTCCCCAGAGAAGGGATTTCCCTAAGACTCCCTCCGCAAATTAACTTTTTTTTTTTTGGTCTTGACAACCCTCCCCCTTCCCAGCGTGCTCGCTCCGCTCCTCGGAGCCCGGGCTCTTGGCAGCAGGCGGGGAGGGGAAGGGATCGGACGAGGTCGTGGCGGGGGGCGGGTTGTGCAGGGGGTGCCGGGCCCTGGGGGCCACGCGTGGGCCCGTTCCCGCGGCCGCCGCGGGGCTGCGGCGAGCGGCCCACGCGGGGCGCTTAACGGCACTGCCCGAGGCGGGGGGCAGCGTTGCGTAAGGGTAACAACTATAATAACAACAAAAATAAGATAAAAAAGAGGTGGAGGAGGAAGAGCAAAGGACCCCCCTTCGCCGCGGCAATAGGGATCCCGCCTCGGGGCTGCTCCGAGGCGCAGAGCCAAAGGCGGGGGACAGGGACGGGACCCCCTCGAGCCCCCTGGAGCTGCCTCCCCCGCGCGGAGGTGCCTTCTCCGGCAGGTGAAACGGGGCCGCGGGCTGCCTCGTGTTCCCTCGCTTCTGCGCTGCCGTTTTGTTTTTTTTGGGGGGGGGAGGTGGGAAGCGTGAGCTGGTGTTTGCGAGCAGCCTCATGACTCCCGATAAGCTCATCCTGGAGGACGACACAAGCGCCGTGTTCCTTGAGGAATTGGGGTGGTGACGTCTTTTCAGATACCCGATTGTTACGTGACTGGGGAGGAAAAAAAAAAAAAGGAAAAAGAAAGAAAAAAAAAAACCCATTTGATTCATGAATAAAAATCCGGAGCCCGGCGCGAGGACAACAAACAATATTGCCCGTCCTCCGAGGTGACATGCAGGCAAATGTTTACGGAGAGGGCTCTCGCTGAAGCGGGCTGTTTGCAAAGATTTTGCTGCTAATTGCGTGTGAGGCGGAAGGCTGCGGAAGGCTGGTCAAGTTTGGAGCCGCCGAGCAGGAAGAGAAGAAGAGGAGGAAGCTGAAGGCTCTCAGTGAGGGGAGAGATCTGGGGAAGACAACATCTCGAGCACCAGCCCTCGGCTCCCCTCCTCCTCTCCCGCCCGGGCTCGCTCGCTCTCTTCCCCCTCTCCCTGGGCTCCTTTCGCCGCTGGCACCTTGCTCCATCCCTCTTCCTCCCTGTCCCTTCCCTGGCAGACTCCACTCCAGATCTGCGCTACTACCTGCAAACTTTTTTCCTCTATCTTTTTTCTTGTTTTCTTTTCGGAGTGGATTCCCTCTAAATCAACAAACAAGTAACCGCCGCTTTTGCATCTTCTTCATCCCACCGGAGAAGAGATGCCACGAGGGTTTTAACTCTTTTCGACCGCTACTTGGGAGAGCATCGCATTTTTTTCTCCCTCTCCCCCATTTCTTTTTATTCTTAATTTTATTTTTTTGAGACCTGCCCTTTTAGTTCCGCAGCCAAACGCTCTTAGTGCCGAGTGTTTAGAGTTTAATGGTAAGGACCCAGAGCGGCTCGCCGGGCCTTGCGCCGGGGCGGGCGGCACCGACGGGGCGGCGGCGGCAGCGGGCGCTGCTCCGCGCG